CTTTTTTTCCTCAGGGACGAGGGCCTTCTTGAGCGCATCTTGTAGTGGGGGTCTTGTGGCAGGGAACTCCCTTAGCTTTTGTTTATCTGGGATAGTTATTATTTCTCCCTCATATCTGAAGGATATTTTTGCTGGCTAGAGTATTCTTGGCTGAAAGTTTTTGTCCTTCAGAATTTTGAATATATCGTTCCACTCTCTTCTAGCCCGTAAAGTTTCTGTCGAGAAATTGGCTGAGAGCCTGATAGGAAATCCTCTGTATGTTATTTTTTTTTGTCTAGCTGCCCTTAATATTTTTTATTTGTCATTGACTTTTGCCAACTTTACTGTTGTATGCCTTGGAGAGGGTCTTTTACTGTTGATATATTTTGGAGATCTATTGATTTCATTCACTGGTATTTCCAGCTTCTTCCCCAGGTTTGGGAAGTTCTCATCTATTATTTCTTTGAACAAGTTCTGTGCTCCTTTTTCCCTCTCTTCTCCTTCTGGAATACCTATAATCTTTATGTTGGATTTCCTAATGAGTTGGATAGTTCTCGGAGAGTTTCTTCATTTCTTTTTACTCTTAGTTCTCTTTCCTCCTCCATCTGGAGCATTTCTGCATTGTTGTCCTCAATATTGCTAATTCTTTCCTCCATATTGTTGGCTCTGGTGTTTAAGGCTTCCAGATTTGTCTTTATCTCCTCTATTGTGTTTTTCATCTCTAAGATTTCTAATTAGTTTTTTTTTTGTAGTTTCAATCTCTTTTGTGAAGAAACTCCTGATTTCACTGAATTGTCTGTCTGTGTTTTCTTGTATTTCATTCAGCTTTTTTATGATGGCTATTTTGAATTCTCTGTTGTTAAGGTTATACATTTCTGTGCTTTCTGGGTTGACTTCTGGGTGCTTGTCATTTTCCTTATGGTCTGGAGATTTAATGTATTTTTGCATGATGCCTGTCGGTGTTGGCTTATTTTTCCTCATAGTGAAAATATATGGTCGCAGTTTCCTCTTGCTGCCGCTGGGTGGGGGTCAAGGGCTGTGTATTCTGGCCCACCTCAATCTGTGGGTAGTCTTGTTGGCCCCTGGCTGATCTATGGTGTGGCTGAGTGGAGGCTGCTGGGGGGGGAAGCATGGAAACAGCTGGGGCTGGAGCACAGCTAGGCCGAAGCAGCTGGGGCTCGGGTGCAGGTGGGTTGAAGTAGCTGCAGCTGTAGTGCCGCTGGGCCAAAGAAGCTGGAACTGGAGTGCGCTGGGCCAAAGAAGGAAGAGCTGGAGTGCGCTGGGCCAAAGAAGCTGGAACTGGAGTGCGCTG